CGGGCTCTCCAAGTGGAGGGCTGAAGCTTCACGTTTTGTGTTGAAAGTGCTGCACGTCCAACCTCACTCCAACACTGCCACCCCTCTCTGCCGCTCACATCACCCCCACCGCCAACTCCTGGCTCATAAGCTACAAAGTGTTTCACGGGACCCAGTATAAGGGAAAACTCAAGAGCTGTCCGTTGATGCTGGCTGTCAAAAGATTTTCATTATTGAGGTGGGAGAAGGTTTGCCGGTTGGCAACTAACCTGAGGCAAACTGGAAGAGGAGAGGAACAGCTGCATGCTGGGAGTTGGCAGCCATGACGGCTGGCATTCGGAGTGCCTTTGCATCCAATGCCCACTTGTTCCTCACCAGATGATGCAAGTGTGAGGAGAGTTCTGTGGAATTTTTCAGAACGTTCCTTCAAGCACTCTTCTTTCCCACCGCCTCTCTCTCCCACCAACCTATTCTCCATGGTTAAAGCCCTACACTGTATTTCTTTCCCTTTATTTGAAAGAGAGACAGAGAGGGAGAGAGGGAGTTATTCTGGTCTCATAACCCAGAGTAACTGCTATGAAGTACGGCTGGAGCTGGACACAACAAAGAAGAAAAAAGAAGAAAAATCTGTGCCTGGCAATGAGCAAGCCTTCAAAAAGAAATGTGTCAAACTAATAGAGGAAGAATGGCCACAGTCACACCATACATTTAAAACACTATGATATCATTTTAAACAGTCATGTCTTCTCCCCAAAGTCCTGGGAGCTGTAGTTTGTTGAGGGTGGCTGAGAGTTGTTAAGACCCCTATTCCCCTCCCAGAATTACAATTCTCATCTTGAACTAAGCTGTTGTACAGAGTTTCCTGGGAAGAGAGGTTGACTGTTAAACCACTCTGAGCTGGCTGACAGCCAGCAGAAGTGACCCTAAGAATTCACAACTACAATAAGGTTGGGTGGAAATGATCCCAGATCCTCCATTAAATGGGATAAAGATCAGCACTGTCTTTTACTCAACTGTGTTTTTTGGGGACTTGGGCAGACCTTAGATGTTCCCACAGAGTGATGGAAAGGGCCACAAACAAGAGTATTTGGAATTCTTTTAGTGGGGCTGAAAGGATCCTGCAGGCCTATGCTGGACTGGCCTGTCCTCCAGTCATTACAAGACTGAAGAAGGAAGCTCTCTGAAAACCCTCCAGCAGCACTGAAGAAGGCTGAAGCCACAACAGCACATCTCCCCTTTCTCCTCTGGTATTATCTGATTTATGAACCTTGGAATGGCATTCCCTCTGTGAAGCCAATGAAACCCCAAGCTAAAATAAACAAATAGCCAAACGGGCGTTAAAAGCCATGCAGCTCAGATGTTTAAGTGTGAGCATGAAAGTCATAAAACCCAAGCAGACTGACTGGTAGAGAAATGTACATAACAAGCATCAAAATCTGAAGTTTTTAAATGTTTGATGTTTTATCGTGTTTTTAATATTCTGTTGGGAGCCGCCCAGAGTGGCTGGGGAAACCCAGCCAGATGGGCGGGGTATAAATAATAAATTTATTATTAATATAAATTATTATAATAATTGCTGAAGGCTCTTTCAAATAGTGATGTTGCAGAGCTGGGTAAAATGCCAGGGACTGACACTTGGAGCCTTCTACATGCATAGCATATGCTCTACCCACTGAGCTGAGGGTCCTTCCTTATGCAAAGCAGGAATAGCAAACTTACTTTCATTCATTCATTCATCCATTCATTCATTCTATAATCACATTCCTCCAAAGAGCTCAAATTGGCCCCCGCCCCTACATATGATCCTCAACAACCCCTCTATGAGGTAGATTAGGCTGAGAATTTGTAGCTGGCCCAAAGTCACCCCACTGAACTGGGTGGCCAAGTGGGGATTTGCACTGTTTTCCCAGGTTTATTTAGTATTTATTTAACCAATTGCATGATGTAATCAGCCTTAGCATCCTGAAATAAGCCCTAGTACAGAGTAAACTGGGTACATTTCATTTTTTATATAGAAAAATGCAACAGTGATGATGGCAACATAAGAAAAGCCTCTTGGATCAGGCCAGTGTCCCATCTAGTCCAGCATCCTGTTCTCACAGCGGCCCACAAGCAGGACCTGAGTGCAACAGCACTCCCCACTCCTGCAGCCTCCAGCACCTGGGTATTCAGAAGCACATTGCCATGAGTTTGTCTAAACCATGGGTAGGCAACCTAAGGCCCGGGGGCCGGATCCGGCCCAATTGCCTTCTAAATCTGGCCCGTGGATGGTCCAGGAATCAGCGTGTTTTTACATGAGTAGAATGTGTCCTTTTATTTAAAATGCATCTCTGGGTTATTTGTGGGGCATAGGAATTTGTTCTCCCCCCCCCAAAAAAAATATAGTCCAGCCCCCCCATAAGGTCTGAGGGACAGTGGACTGGCCCCCTGCTGAAACAGTTTGCTGACCCCTGGCTCTAAACCTCTTTTAAAGCCATCCAAGTTGGTAGCCAGCATTGCCTCCTGTGGATTGAATTCCATAGTATAACTATGCACTGTGTGAAGACATACTTCCTTTTGCCTGTCCTGAATCTATCAACATTCACCTTCCTGGTTATAGTGATATGCAAAGAGCTTGTGGCTCCCTCCTTGTCTTTCCACCGGCAGATGACAACTTTCTTATTCCGACAGGTTTTGGGGAAGTGGCTGTTTTGAAGGAAAGGGCTGCTGCTGTGATGTTTCACTGTAATTATTTATATGTTTTAAGTCAGGGGTCAGGAACCTTTTTCAGCCGTGGGTCGGTCCACCGTCCCTCAGACTATGTGATGGGCCGGACTATATTTTGGGGGAAAATATGAACGAATCCCTATGCCCCACAAATAACCCAGAGATGCATTTTAAATAAAAGCACACATTCTACTCATGTAAAAACACACCGATTCCCGGACCAGATTGAGAAGGCAATTGGGCCGCATCCAGCCCTCGGGCCTTAGGTTGCCTACCCCTGTTTTAAATGATATAGTGTGTTTGTAATTAATAGAGATAGATAGATAGATAGATAGATGATAAATTTGATTAAATTGCCATTGTCCCCTTTGCTTTTAGCTTTTTCTATTTTATCTGTAAGCCGCCTTGAGTCCCTGTCAGGGAATTATTAAACACATATACTGCTGCTGCTGCCACTACTAATACTACTAATAAATAGCTGGCATCTCTGCTACCTCCCACTCTCCATCCCACCAGCAACAGACAGTCCAGAAGGGATCCCAGCTGCAACTCTTGGGGAGGGGCAGACTCCCCTGTGCTGTCCCCAACTGCATTATTAACAAGTAGTCTCCACTGTAATCCCTAGTAATGTAAGCAAATACCTTGGACTACCCAGGCAGCAGATTTGCTGAGTAAGGAGATGTCAATTTACACAGCCAAGCTATACGATTAAGCTCCCTGACCCTGCAAGTTCAGCATTCTTCCCTTATGAAGGGGAGAGAGAGAGAGAGAGAGAGAGAGAGAGAGAGAGAGAGAGAGATGGCTCCACTGGGGATAATTCAATACCAGCTCTCAGGTTGCTTAAGAACCCCAAGTAATCAGAACGACCAAGGTAGAGGATGAGCAACCAGCAACCTGAGCTGCCAAGTTCTGCCCTCATCCCTCTTGCCAACTTATTGGTGTGTGTGGGGGGTGTGTGTGTGTAGGAAGAGATGGTTATAGCCATGGAACTTGCCAGGAGTCCATTGTGGGAAACTGAGGAGGTGGGGCCTTAGCTCACCACCCTCTAACTTCTCAAAGTGTCCCTGAGAGTGTCCCCAGAGTGTTGACCAAGTAACTAAAGGAAACATCAGCAATACAAAACATATTCTTTTCTTTCTTTCTTTTTAAAAATTGAATCTGTGCAATTTTACAACCTTCTGAGTTGTTGTTTTTATAATAATTTTTATTAATTTTACATTTTTTCAAAACTTAATACCATTTTCATAAAACAATACAATAAACTTTTGGCTATATGAGCCTAAGACTTCTCTCCTCCACTTGGTTTAAAATACAGAGCCTAAATTGCTGTCTGGGGCTGGGTTTGTGGAACACTTCCTGCCAGTTTTAAAACGACTATGCTGGTGCCGCCTGATTTGTTTCCAAGCAACATTCAACATGCTAATCTTAACATTCAAAGCTCTAAGCTATTTGACTACCTCCTTCTACATGAACCTGCCTAAGTATTAAGGTCTTCTTTTAAAGCTCTTCTCTAGATAACCCTACCTTCAAATACGAGGCAGATGATGCCAAGAATATGTCTTTCTCTGGCATGGCTCCCTGGATCTCTAATATTCTCCCCAAGAAAGCTCACCTGGTGCCAAGATGTCTTTTTCAGTTCCAGGTTTTGCCAACTATTTTATATCTGGGAGCTATTATTTTTAATCTTGATTACTGTATTTTAAAATGCTGCTTTATATTTTTATTTAATAGTGTTTATTGTGTTTTTATATATTCCACGTGAACATGAGGTTGTGTTCTCTGCCCACTTGGATGCTATACTCTCATAATAATTTCTTTGGAGCCCAGGTACTGTACAGTCATACCTTGGGATGAATACACTTCAGGTTAAGCATTTTCGGGTTGCACTCCGCAAGTATCGGAACGCACATGTGCGGAAGCGGCGAAACGCGACCCGCGCATGGATCCTGTTCTCATCCAGAGGTACCACTGTATTCGTAACAGAGATGGCTAAACTGGTTCCCTGGGGGTGGGGGGACGGGCTGTGAAGCAATTTTATCTGGCCCTCATCTGCCCTACCAAGATGTAACCAATGTCACACTCAAATTTAAGGCACATGCCCCTGCTCCAGTTTGTTAAGAGTGCTGGCAATTGTAGCTCTGTTAAGGGTAAACTGCAGTTCTCAAGATTCCTTCAGGGAAACCATATGCTTTAAATATGTGATTTGACCAGAGTATGGTGGGGCAGAGATTGCTTACAGTTTCAGAAGTTTTCCACAGTTGGATGAGAAAGAAATATCTCACATACTATGGGATAGACCCTAATGTTATAAGGGAAGAGGTGTAGCTCAGTGGCTGAGCATCTATTTTGTACACAGAAGGTCCCAGCTTCCATTCTTGGCATCTCCAAATAGGGCTAAGAGAGACCTTGGAGAGTCACTGTCAGCCAGTGTAGGCAGTACTGAAACTAGATGGACCATTTGTCTGACTTGGTAGAAGGCTACTTCTATGTTCCTGTCTCACAAGAACATAAGAATAGGCACCTAGATGAGGCCAATGCCCATTTAGTTCGGAATCCTGTTGTCACAATGGTCAACCAGATGCTACTTTGACATCTCTAGACAGTAAGCAGCCTATAACTGGAAATAAACAAATAAAGGAAGTCTGAAAAGCAGGACCTAGGCGGATCAGCACTCGCCTTACTTGAGATTTCCAGCAACAGGCATATGGAGGCATGCTGCCTCCGTTGTTGGAGACAGACCACAGACGTCATGGCTGGAGGCTCATCCACTGAACTCCACACTGAATAGGTATTTGAACAGAAACAGCAACCTCCACACCACCCTGGCTCTAACTGCCCTCCACAGGAGTTGTGTTACACTTGCAGCCCTGGACCACTAAAGTTGTTCACCTATAAATTATGCTATTTAGTTTTGTCGCTTAATAAGAAGCCAAAGGTATTGGGGAGTGGGGAGTTGTTTAAAAACGGTGTGCCTTTTTATTAGATTCTTAAATGATTTAGCATGGTGTAAGGGAAGTTCATATGGGCATCCAAGATGGTTGAAAGCTCCACAGCCTATAAACTGAATTTGTGATACATCGAGCACAAGCTGTCATCAAAAAATGCACTCGTTAATATTTCAACAGATACTTCCTAATATGGGATAATAGAGGTTTCATTACATTGCATTCTATTTTTAGTATGTGCAGCCTTTGGCCATAACAATGGGTTTTTCAAGCCAAGTTAAACCTACAGGAAAAAAAATAACATGGTGGAGAGAGAATCATTAAAAATACATGGGGTGGAGAGGACTTAATGCTGGAATAACATGTGGTCACAATTAATAAGTGTTTGGGGAAATGGCCCACAGCTGATACCTGAATATGTATACCTGGACCCTTGGATGCGGGTGGAGCAGGGAGATGGAATACTAAACCTTATCTGGAAATTTCAATTTTTTGTTTTTTAATTTCAAACTTTCTGGCACTATGTTGGAAATGCAGTTATAGGCTTACAAATTTAGAGGTAAAAGTCCTTTGGGCGATCTTAGATTCATTACTGGATCATTTGTGTCTACAGGTTGGATTACTGCAATGCACTCTACGTGGGGCTGCCCTTGAAGATGACTTGGAAACTTCCATTGGTTCAAATTGCGGTGACCAGATTACTGGCTGGGATTCTGTTTAGATCTCGCATAACCCGTTTTGAACTGGTTGCCAGTTCATTTCCAGGCCCAATTCAAGGTGCTCACATTAATGTTTAAAGCCCTAAATGAGTTAGGCCTTCCATACCTGAAAAACCGCCTAGTTCCTTACAGACTGGGAAGGCAAAAGACAAAGAGCCAGAGTCAGCGTCAATGACATGCAAAGCCAGCTGATTCTAGTTTTTCCTCAATGAGTTCTAGATTAGCAACACTGAGACGAAGGAGGAGGAAGCTGAAAGGCAGTGGCACCTCCTTCATTGGATATAAGAAGGCAATAGGTGGGCTGGCTGGGGGCTGGCTAGTGGCAGGCTGAGGTTGGTGGAGCAGGGCCTTGTTGGTCCTAATGGGCCAGCCTTGAAGAACATGATCAATCTAGAACGTATCAAACACACATACACTGTGCACTACGGGAGAAAAGCTGTAATGAAAAATTATTTCACCACTACAGATCTTCTTGCAGATATTACAGCTTCTCAAAGAATTACAAGGTTCCCAAGGAAAAAAAGATCCTAGCTCAGAAACATGCATTGTTTGCATTTATATTTGCTTATGCAGAAAAAAGTGTGTTAAAAATAAAGTTAGCCCACTTCTTTAAAATAGTTTACTCTGTTGTAATAAATTCCTACCTCTCCTTGGAGTATGACTCGAGGCTTTAAATGAAGAATGTGTTTCAGTTGAGCCAAATTTTAGGCAGTTGCACATTTAAGAGTAATTTATGAGCTTGGTGTCATGAGCATTAAATTATCACTTTTCCTCAGAAGATGATCTGCCTTGTTTCACACTCTTGAGCCGCATTTTATAAGAAGTCCTTTCTAGGTAATGGGTCTTTAAAGCACCATCTGAGAACTTTGGAACAGACCTTAAGAAAGGCAAGTCAGATTTCCTAGAGAAAACACCACATTTATAGCTAATCTAAGAAGGCATGCCTTTCTTTTAGTGTCTGATATCTACACTTACTTAAACAAGAATGTCATCCTTGGCCCCAGTAAATACCTGAGATATTCTTTTCTCCCATAAATGTAACATAACTTGTATAGCTGTTTCAGAACCCACAAATTAGAGTCTTTTTTAACATAAATCAATCAGTTTATGCCAGAGCTATTTTTAACATTTAATAGTCCCCAACCAGATTTTTCTGCAAAGTGATAGACTCCATTTTCAAGATTGCCACTTTTTGGTCACTTCTGTTATCCACAAAAGAATTGCAAGCAAATGACCGTTCCTTTCCAGCAATATAAATGTACACAGAACTATAGTTTGTACATCAAATTCTCAACTCCATAAACTACAATTCTGCCAGAGCTGAAAAAACAAGACTCAAGCTGTTTATGCCTAGTTATGAAGAAGATATTTGAAATGCGTTGGGTTCAATATACACATTTCTTTGCAAAGCTTCCTCCCCCTTTTTTATCTCCTGTATTTTATGTCTTCCCATCTAGTAATACATTTCAAAATATAACATCACAATGCACACACCACTCCTTTAGTCACACATGCTTATCTTGTAAACATTGTCATCACAACATTGTAAACATTGTCATCACAAGGAAGTAGATACAAGACCACTCAGATAAATTTTGCTGGTCATCAGAGCTCTTTCAACAGCCTACCCTAAAATACTTGAGATTTTTTTCCAGGTTCCTCCTCATACAAATATACACATTAATTTTCATAGCATGAAAAGCATGTCCTTACATATATTTTTCAGCTTCTGCTCTGAATAACTTAAGTTTGTGCCTAAATGTGACAGCCTAAATACCATGTTCTGGAACCAAAGGTCTCTTATAGAATCCTGGCCAGCTCCTGCCTGCACTGATGGGTGCCATTCTAATGAGGCCTTTGATTCTCATAAGAACCTTTGGAAAAGTGCTCCAAGATCACCTGGTCCCCAAACCATGTCATAAGGAATAGACTCTTTTGTGTGTCACAGCAGATTAGGGTTTCCCCACCCTCTCCCCTCTTAGGCACAAAAAACGTTAATCCAAACAAGACAGGAGTCAATTAGGTCATTAACACACTAAGCCTATTAGAAGCCATGACATCACATCTTTCTTGAAGCAAAAGGGAGAAAAAGCAATCATGGTTTTTTAAAAAACGCACAGACACACACAAATAAAAAAAGTGCCTAAGGGCAATTCATGAAATTTAAGATTCACTAGGCTAGCCAGAAAATACTTAGTTAGAAGATAACTGTAACTATTGCACTTAACTAGGGATGCGTAGAGAACTCCTGTCCAGAGTATTTTTGTAAATCCAAATATTTCTGCCTCTACTGTTTGAAATTTCAAAGAGAAACTAAGAAGTTCTTAGTTTCTCTTCGAAATTTCACTTTCACTGAAATTGGGTGGCAATTATTTTTATTCATTTATTTATTGCATTTTTCAGTTGCTTTATACAAAACAAAAAGTATAAAACACAATGCATAATAGCACTTAGGGGTAACCAGAAATGGATTTGTGGGGTGGGGTGGCGGCCTGTGAGCACAACTCTGCTCTGGCGCTCACAACCCCTTGCTCAACAGCAGCTAAGATAGAATCATGTTGTAAAACTCGTATGCCTTTCACACCTTGCTCCAGTCAGTATATCTTGGGATTCCAGTAAAACACAAAGCAGATGTCAAAAGCTTAAAGTCTATGCCCTTTCTTATAGTTTCTTTTGCTCCACAGCCATGCAGGTTGCATTCACCAGGGAGGCAGGCCGCTGGAAGTCAAGGTTCTGCCTGTCTTCATAAGAATCAAGTCTTTTGCTAAAACAATGTTTTTCATAGCTTAGCCAACACAGCACAGCTCATTTGGAACTGATCAGGGTCCTGATCTGCATTGCTTACAGGAAGGGGTGTGCAGAAAATGTAATTAGCCTTATTGTCATTTTTGCTTACTTCAGAATTTTGCAAATGTTTTACTCCAAATGTTCAGCCACGCTTCACTCTCTAAGTTCCCATTAAGTGTCACATACCTAGAATAGATAGGAATCAAGGGCACAACTATTTCTAGCATTGTTTTGGGAGGCTGCCTTGCACCCACCAATCAGATGGGGCTAACCTAATTTATATATTCAGAAGGAAGCTGTACTGAAATCAGCAGGACTGGGGGAGCGGGGGAGCGGCCAGAACTCATTGGCATTATTTGCCTGCAGAAAGTCCCAGGTTCAATGCCTGGGGTCTCAACCTAAAAATGTTCAGGTAACAGGTGCTAGGAAAGACATCTCTAGGTACCCTGAAGTCTGATGCTGCTAGGAAGGAGGTGGCTCTGAAATAGATGGAACTTGGCTGAGGGGTCATAACTCAGATGTAGAGCATGAAAAATGTAGACTTTGCATGCAGAAGGTTCTGGGTTCAATCCCAAGCTTCTCCTGCTAAAGGTAAAGGGACCCCTGACCATTAGGTCCAGTCGTGGCCGATTCTGGGGTTGCGGCGCTCATCTCGCTTTATTGGCCGAGGGAGCTGGCATACAGCTTCCGGGTCATGTGGCCAGCATGACTAAGTCGCTTCTGGAAAACCAGAGCAGTGCACGGAAATGCCGTTTACCTTCCCACCGGAGCGGTACCTATTTATCTACTTGCACTTTGACGTGCTTTCGAACGGCTACGTTGGCAGGAGCTGGGACCGAGCAACGGGAGCTCACCCTGTCGCGGGGATTCGACCCGCCGACCTTCTGATTGGCAAGTCCTAGGCTCTGTGGTTTAACCCACAGCGCCACCCGTGTC